CAGAGGCACAGGACATGAGGCGTAACCCAGGGTGGGCCTTGCTGCTACACATGTGGGTGGGGCAAGCAGGCCCAGAGGCCCTGCGCGTTAAGGTCGTTAACCGCCCAGTGGTCTGAAGATATTAAATGAGTCCTGGACCCCACCACAGGGGATTGCGCCGTGTTGAACAACAGCTAGCCGGTACATAATATAAGTGCGCCGTGGGGTAAAAAAGATCATAAAAGGCAAAGCAAAGCATTACGACATAATACATATCTACCCACTATCATAATAGGGTTCAAATAAGGAATCAGAGTAAGGAGTAAGGAAACTCACCTATTCTAGGGAGGTCCCTGGCTGGAGAACGTGATGAGGTTCGGCTGGCTGCCCTCAGCACTGCTTTTGATGTCCAGGACAAAGACATCAGGAGGCGAAAAGGAGATCTCGATAGTGTGGACACCACGTTGAAGAGGTCCCATGTAGGCACCGGGGGGGGGGGGGGGGGGGCATGAAACAAACATCCCCTGACTAGCTGGCTGAGAGCTTGACTCTCTGACACAGAAGTTCAGTCCGGGAAGCCTTCATGAATAGCCGCTATGGCCGAACGGCACTTTTTAATTGTGGCCGAAGCGAGGTAACTTTCAAACAAGTACACCAGGAAATCTGCAACCTCCCCAACATAAGTACGGGGGGGGGGGGGGGGGGGGGGATGCAGAGATCGGCTTCTACACAACTGTCGTAAAAATTGGCTGTCGTAAATTGTTCTGATTGATGCTCTTCAACAGTAGGCTGCAATAGCCGCAGCTTGTTGAGAATAGCCTGCCATGCGGAGGGATTGCATGACAGCACAGCACATCAGGTGAAGTTCCTGCGGAGCCAGTTGAAGAAAACCCGAGCTGGGCTACAACAAAATGTTTGCGCTCCATGGAAGTACCACTGGCTAGTGAACCAGGAGTCTGGTTAACCTTGGGAACCACGGTTGGCGGGCCAGAAGGGAGCTATGAGGAGGACTTTGCAGTACTCCTGCTCAAGTTTGGCCAGTACCCGAGGGAAAGCAGTCCGTCCCACAGTATCGTCAATGCATCCGTCTGCCAGTCGCTGAGGTCGGAGAACCTTGCACAATAGACTGGTAATTGGTGATTGATCGAAGAAGCGAACAGGATCGAGGAGATGCGGTTGGTCGATCAGCAGGAAGAGTGATTGAGCGACATTGTGGCACATACACAGTTGGGCAGACCGCGTGCCCACTTGGTGGTTGATGCAGGCATGCAACTGCGAATTTAGGGGAAAAAAGAGGAAATTCCAACCACACAAGACTTTCTACAGTGGTTTTCAATTTGTAATGGCATTCATGTGAATTAAAAAAGAGGAAATTAGCGGATCTAAGGAAAAGTTGCATGCATGATATGTTGCATGCATGATATGTTGCTGAAATGAATAAATCAATTAAGAAAGTCATTAACAAACCGAAAGCATGTCCCACGAAAATATACCGAGCGGTAAAAAGTACGGCAGGCCGGCCGACCATGCGTGAGTGAAAGCTGTCTTTGACATAGACAACCGGCTGTGATACTGCTAGCTGCATGCCATGCTGCATGCATTCCCCATGGACCACACCATTAGTAGTAATAAAGGGGTGTACTTTCTTGGGAACAATAATTACCAATATTTTAGCTGTTTAAAAAAAGAAAAAAGACAACTAATAATTTTCAAGGAGTTTAAAACATTTCTTTATTCGATAATCACTTGTGCAACGTCACAATATATATTTTTTTTCTTGAAATGTATTCAAGAAACGATGTACAACTCAGAACAGGGGATAAATCACCCCTTACGAAATTAATGGATTCGTCCACAAAAATGTCAGCATCGTTATGACTGTTTTCGAAGAAAGTTACGATCGAAACTTGAATTTTTGACGTTACTACTCATTAGTAATCACAACAGTTTGGTAAGTTTTGCTGTAAAAAGGGACCTTTTTATTCTTAGGACAAAACAAATCAGCATCTGTTGCCACAAAGCAAGAAATTGTAGCGCTCCAGTTAGACGACAAAAATGGTGGGTTGCATACTCTCTCAAGTGCTGTGGGAAAATGTCATTCGCCGGCACAGGCTGCCAGGCCATGCGCTAACTTTTAAGGCCGGGGACGTACGGGCCAGCCGGCAGCAATTCCTGGTGTTTATTTCTCATCATCAATTTCCATATTTGTTTGTAAGAGTATCGACTGTAAATGATTTGATATAACTTTTGTGGCCCTTTTTATAGCTTCTGTAGTGTAAATGGAACTGAATCAGAGCATTTTGACTAGAATTTGGAGGTCTTTCAACATGAAAACGCTGCGGTCGGTGCGGCTTATACGCTGGTGCGACTTATACGCCGACTTCAAATCTTAATTTGCAGATTTTGCGTGCTGCGGCTTATACGCCGCGCGGCTTATATTCTGAAAATTACGGTAAATAAGTTGAACACAATATTGGAGATAGTTGCGGTGACTTCTGCTGTGAATTTCTTTGTTGATTTGTGTCTGTTCATCAATTACGAACCGGCCACAATTAAGTATGGACTAGCCTATAATTTACAAGATAAAAGCGGACAGAATAAAGTACATGTACATTATTCTAAGGCTTTGTAGAAGAACGAATTATGGCACCGTTTCCTCAGAGGACAGAACACATTATTTGTCACGCCGCTCTCAAGCGGATGGAACAAAGTATCTATAAGATTTCCCTGTCTCATGTTTATTCATATGACCTATCATTTCTGCAACAATAGCACCTGGTAGATCTGGATACGCCCGTGTGTGCACAGCCGTGCGGTTCACGAACTTTCTAGTAATCGACAACGCCAGACTCCCATAAGAACGGTTAGGACCAAACAGTAAGACGCCTTAGACTTCAGTGGTTTGCGGCGGGAGATAACAAAAGACGGTTTGTTTTTACTCTGTGCAGTCTTGGCCATGGAGGTTGGTGGCTTCTTGAAATTGATCTTCTCAGTAGCCTTCAACTGCTTTGCCTCACCTTGCACGTAATCCTTGAATTTCCACGCAAAAAGGTCTGTGCCCGTGAGAGGGATGGTCTCGAATCCTTTGCGGGCACCTGGCAATGGGAGAAAGGTCGAGGTCATCAGGGTCACCACTCGTGTAAACTGATCGAGCACCAAGCGAAGAGAGTGGTCTAGGCACTTAAGAGCAGCAGTCAACTTGTCCGCCAGAACTGCCAAGTCATCCTCACAACCCAAGGCTAAATACTCTGTGAGGAGGAGTATAAAGAGGAGGCCAAATGCATGCCATGGCAGGAGGCCGAGTCCACTTTTTTTATAGTGTTCTCAAGCTTGCCACAAGTCCTATTTGTACAGGTCCCTTCATTCTCAGCAAGCTTGTTTTTCCCTGCGTAGGAGATGACAGGTGTGGTGACATTTGTTTCGTAATCTGCTGAGGAGAAATGAAAATAATCATATTCTCACTTGGAAAATGGTTGCCATTTGTCACAAGACATAATCTTGTGCATGCGATCCGCACACACCTGATTCAAAGGAGCATCGCGAACACCTTGTTGTTGTGCGTTGTTGAACCTGTCCTGATCTTGACGGATTTATGTTCATGCAGGCTGGGGGCTTCATCAGCGGAGGATAGCTTTAATACCCGAATCATGTCCCTTTGCACCAAAAAGAGTTCTGATTCTGCAATGAACAGCTGCGGCATGTGGGCCACTTCCTCAGCGTAATCAGATGAACCACACGAATGGGAGGGCCAAACTGACTCCGGAGAACATGAGCCGTCTGGCACGCTTGGAGGGGCAAGCTGCACAGGGCCACGGGTCGTTGGCTGAGCAACATCCTCGGAGACAATAAACATAGATGGGTGTAAGCTCAGTGCAGGCGGAGATTCCGGAGCATGGCTTACCGTGCGCGATATGTCCCTTTTGTCCCCGAGCCACCCAACCGTGACCAATGACTGAGGGCATCGCAGCATGGCTGGCCAGGGGCCACCAAGGGTACCCGCCTGGTGGGTGGCAGACAGGGTCGACAATAAAGTCAAAATCCATTGAAAGGCTTGCAAAATATCAGCTGTATAGACTGAGTCCTCATCCTTGTAGCGTTTGTCTTGGTGGGGTCAGTTCAATGAGTCATGCAAGCTTGAGCCCGGCCGACAGCACCTCAAGCCCCATAGGTTGAGCAATGCTGACCGGTCAGGTAGCCCGTACAAAAGTTCCGGCACCCCGTGGTGTTCATCACAGTGATGGGAGGACACCGGGGATTCATGCCCACTGAACCGTGGAGGCTAGTCCCCACGGGCCTGCCCCGTATTCGGGGAAGGCATGGAGGGTGTAGTGAAGCCCGTTCCAGAGCCATGTTTATACCGAGGACCCTCCTTAAGTTTGGTTCCGGCACAGGGGTTAAATTTTTTCTCAGTAACCTTGCTGAACCGAACCTTTCAATTGGTTGTTCCGTTTGTGCTGGCCGGAGACAGTTTCATGTCCCCTTCTCGGTCAACGGAACTGCCAGCGCCGGCAGCCAACTGTTGATGTGGGTGCCGGACAGTGGCGTAGCCACGGGGGGGGGGGGGGGGGGGGGGGGGGGGGGGGGGGGGGGGAACAGCCCCCCCATGAAACCTTGTCGCCCCCCCCCAGTCGCCCCCCCCCCTGAGATTTTGAGTTTCTAAAAAAATTATCATTGATCTACATGACGCCCCCCCATGAAATGTTCCAGCCCCCCCAGCGCCCCTTCACTGAAAAATTCCTGGCTACGCCACTGGTGCCGGATGGGAGACCGCTGACATGGTAATGGTTCCACGCTTCCAGAAGTGACTCCCTGGGTGAAGTTCCATTCCCCTAGTAGTGACAGCACCAGCTCTCTCCAAACTTTTCATTATATAGCTATTCCATAATATAGCTAGAGGGGTGTTTTGAAAAACATGAAGTAATATTGTTGGACAAAATCATTGGAAATTTAAAATTTTTGAAGTTTTTTGACTTTGATAGGAAACCTGCAAAACTGGTATTAGGTATTTGACTTTTTCTCACCTCCTGAAAGTGCCTCATGGCTTGGTAAAAACTCTCTCTGGTTGGCTGACTCTCTTCTGATGCTGACATAGAAGTTTTGTTGATTGTATCATCTGTTCCAAAGATTGCCACAGAGTCTCTTCTGTCTCCACAGGCAAAACGGATTGCCTGATTTAATAGAAATAAAGTTTTATTTACAATTTAGATCCACCTTACATGTACATTGTAAGAGTCCCAAACTATGATTTCTCTATACCAGTTTGTAGGTTTGGATTTTTAAACTTTACACTAGTGTGTGTATACATGTATGTATACATATTCATTCCACTGCACATCACCATTCGTTGGTGAAAAAAAAATGGGGCACTTAGGCCAAAAAAAAAAAGGCTCCGGTTTCTGGTATGCGCGCGCGTCGCCGTAGCCATGCGCGTCGGCAAAATGAAAAAGTTTTTTTCTCAATACAAGATGATGTTTCAAAACCGCCAAACTCACTGGTTTGACTGGAATTCTGCTGCTGCACAATTTTAACGTGTTTTTAGATGGGGTTATGATCGAGAATAAGATTATGTGGCCTCTCTGGACTCTCATATATTTGCACTAAGTTTAGTCGGGCACCATTTGCAGTCATCAGCCGACATTTGAAGCCAAAAAAAAACAAAAACAAAACAGGTAAAAAAAAAAAAAGCCGCGTCGCCGCACCACGTTTGGGGCAAGCTCCATACCAGAAACCGGAGACTTTTTTTTTTGGCCTTATCCACTGTTTCATCATTTAACAAATCTCACTGCCGGTATATCATCACCGTTTTCACGAAGGGACGGAAAGGCAGTCAAAGTAGGTCAACAGAGATTTTCGATTTCACGAAGGGACGGGCATCTTTGTTACATTCTCAGCTGTGCGCGCGTAATCGAACACGCGTGCCCTTCCCTATGGAAAAGCACATTAAACAAGAAGGGCGTAAATGTGGAAAAGTTGGATTTTTGTTTACACGAAGGGACGGGCATCTTTGCTAATTAATTTTGGCTAATCAACCACTGTTATAATTACTGGGTTCAAATTAAAGTTTACCTATCAAAGAATTACGTCAAGGTTTCCTTATTGCATAAAGTTGTTGCAAAGTAGCAGTTTTGCTGTTTTAAAAACGGAGAAACTTCTCTTGCGATTATCTCGAAAACATTTTTTCTTCAAAATCCACATTCCCGTCCCTTCGTGAAACCGGTGACGATATGTCCTCATCAAGCTATTTCTCATAATACTTGAGTTCCTTACTTGGTAATGTTTTTAACCTTTCAGCCTTACTTATTGACAAATATTTCAGTTTCTGATCCTATACACTACAAAATATATACACTGAAATACAAAATACATACACAGAAAGGAGAGATCAAGTTCTGTGAAATGACTTGCAGAATGGCATTTTGGCAATGTCGTGGTTCTGTAAATCTCTTACGTGCGGGTTTTTTTTTTTCTAGACACACACATGCTACATGTAGCTCAAACAATTGGGGCTCCTGCAGTGCATGTCCAAATAAAGCTTACACTTTCCATTGGCTGGTGTTGCACACTACTCATGCATCATCATTTAGGTTCATATTGAGCTATGCGGGCACCAGATACCTCGAAAATGATATGTCAGTTTGTGCACAGAAACGGGTGTACTTTTGTAGGCCTATACTAGTATTATCCAAGTTTTGACGTCGTCACCGTCATGATTTTTGCAGGTTTTTTTAACAGATATGTTTGTGTCAAATCATGGTAAATTTCAAGAGTAGAAGTATGTAGTTCAAGAGTATGTTCATGGCAAACAATTGCAAATAGTGCTCATTTAAAATAATCAACAAGCAAAATGGCATTAAAAGTTTGAGGTCAGCAATTTGGTCCCAACAATTCCAGGTCGGTCAGGTTACCGTAAACACACCATTTTTTTCCGCCCAATTTAAACACAGCAAGTCATGACAAAAATTTTAATCCATATTTTTTTCTCATTCTGTTTAGTAACATTTTGGATTTAGATTGGTTGCTTATTTCATTTATTCTTTTTATGTGGCAAGGCATCCACATCCACCAACTGAACTTACATTTCCTACTTCCAACACCCACTATATTCTAACCTTCCATTTTAATGAGTATATTACCTTGAACCATTCATCTCGATCCTTTTCGATGTCTGCCGCAGATGCACTGCCACTTGGAATGATTCGAAAACTATATCAACACAAAGGAAACTTTGATGAGTCCAGTAGAATAAACATAAGATGACTCATATACAACCAATGATTTTATAGAAGTTGAAGTGAGACCAAAGACTACTTGGACAAAAAAGAGCTGTCACATGCACTAAAAAATCACTGACAACCCAAAACTTGTGATAACAGGATTTTTATGGTCACTTAATGTATGAATGCCAACTGCAACTACTTAGTTCAAACTACAACCCGGGGTTAATCAAGAATGTAAGCACCGTCAATATAAGAATCTTCAATAATCGATCCAATATCGAGTATATTCTATTTATCGATTATCCCATGAATGAGTAAAGTCCATTAAAAAAAACCCAAATGATATCAAAGAGATCTTGCATCTGTTATTAATTGTTGTTGTCCCCTGGTACTTTAATACTGTATGGTCGACGATAAGAGGGATTTCTTGTTTGCATGGGGACGTATTAAGTCATGAACCCCAGACACGCGTCAGCCTCTGGCGACCCTCTGACCCTTAACTTGCATTTAGAAATCAGGATAACTTTCGTGGTAGATTTTTTGACTTAATAAATACAGTGCACTTTCTAGTCACAGTGTTGAAAAAAGAAATTCACTTTACACACCGAGATTTAAAAGACGAGGCAAAAACTACCATCATCAGTTGCTTTATATCATTTCAATTAACTTATTCTCAGCAACAACAACAACAAAAATTCTATGACATTTTTGGTATTATGACATTTTATCATTAAATAATCAAATGCTTTATTCTCAGATTTTCTCTGGTTGGTGTTAATTTATTCATAGTAACCTATAGTAATTGCACCGCTGCTTTGTTCGGGCTCCAGAGTCTATAGGTTTAGTCTTAGATATGGGTTGAAAGATTTGTCGCTCCAAACTTAGACGATGAAACCTGTCCTTTCCCCCGATATTTCGCCCCAAAGACCACCCATTCCTCACCCAAGCCTCATCTGGCAATGCGGCTGGGCTGCTTGCAGAGCTAGACTTTTCTAGACTTCCGCCAATTTATAACAAATGCTCTCTATAAGACCGTACATAGAATAATTATTTCAAACCGGCGCAGCGTGCCTGAAAAACGAGGTCGATTCCGATTGTCACTTCTCATTAACCGATTTAAACAAACCTCGCAATGCGGCTGTGCAAATTGACAATATTGTGTCCCACAATGAATACTACGCAAATATGATTTTGACTAGTGCGGATCACTTGTCTGATATCCACCTAAAATTTGGTTTTATCAAAAGAATAACGAGAAAATCAACTCTTTTAGGGGAAACACAACGCGCACGCAAACACATCACCTGTAACATGCGTGCGAATAAATCACAATAAGTGTGTACATATGCTTGATTTGGCTATTTTCCGTACCATGCATTTATCGTCAGGGGGCCACGTGCACCGATCTCTATTCAGGATCTACGGCACAGGAAACAGCCGTCGCATTTGCAACTCGCGCCTCGCGCGCTCGACAAACAATTTGCATAAACGCGACGTCACCGCTTGAGGTCATCTCTTGTCACATTCAAAATGGCTGCCACCACCAGACGTTTCACGAGTGCATATGGGCTCCAGAAAGATTGAAGAATATCTCGGAAAATGGAACATCATTAGACCTAAGCATCCCAGAAGTGACAGGTGAGACATCATAGAATACAACCATAAGAAAGTAAGAAACTGAGAATGTAAGAAACTGCCCTGAATTTTTATGAAAACTTCGTCCTCAGTAGCGCGCGGTACCACGGTGTGTGGCCAAAGGTTCAGCGCAGCATACCGATGGTCACACTAGTGGGGCTAGGGCCACCGTATGCAATAGAAATATCCCGCCAACATACCTTGCAAACGCATGCTGATTATCTTTTCTGTCCGTTGTGACAAGGCCGTAGGAAGCGGTACGGCAGGTACGGCTATGGCCGTACCAATAATGACAGGCATATCTTTTGTTTTAATGTATAAAAGGCCTTGCATGGCCCCAAGGCTGGATTTTTTCTTTTTTTGGTTTCTAGATGCTCTGTGGTGCGATCTGAGGCAATTTCTGACCACTTTAACAATTTTTTTTAAAGAAAAAGATGGTGGTGTATGCAGTACCTGCCTCTATTGCGACGACACTGAAAAAAAAATGGCTTCCATTTTTTTTTGGGGGGGGGGGGACATGGCCCCCGTTGCCCTCCCCCAATTTTTCTTGTGTTGTTTTTGTGTTTTGTTTTGTTTTTGTGTGTGTGTTTAAAGGGAAAGGGCGTAATCATACATGTCGCCACTAGGCCTACATGTTAAGTTAAACGGAATGGCGATTAGCCGCCACCATGAATTTTAGTTGTCCTCAGACTAGTACTTGTGTTTTCTTAAAAAGAAGTGGTTTTCTAAATGAGAAAATAGCAAGGAAGAACCGGTTTTGTGCAAGCAAAATTCAGGGAATAATCCGTTAAAGTTAATATCTTGTTGGAAAATTCCAAAATCATTCAAAGAAAGTAATTACCGCTGTGAATCAGAGTTTATGAAGGAACGGAAAGTGGGATTTGCTATCAACAAGACCGTTCGTCATTCTTTACCTGATGGGATGTGAATCAATTGGAGGATGAGAGACTCTGCGAGCTGATGTATTTTTTTTAGAAAAAAAAAAACCTTAACAAATACGCTCGGCAGTTCAATCATGTACGTACACTGTATCCATACCGGTGAATTAAATTTCTAAAAAATACATCAGCCGGCAGAGCCTCTCGTCTTCCAATTTGATTCACATCCCATAAAAGGTAAATAATGAGGAACAACCCTGTTGATGCTGATAGCAAATCCCGCTTTCCGTCCCTTCATAAACTCTGATTCACGGCGGCAACTTTCTTGAAATGATTTTGGAATTTTCCAACAAGATATTAGTATCAACGGATTATTCCCTGAATTTTGCTTGCGCTTTGCACAATACCGTTCTTCCTTGCTATTTTCTCAGCTACAAAACCTCTTCTTTTTAAGAAAAACACAAGTACAAGTCTGAGGAAAACTAAAATTCATGGTTAAATTCCATTTAACTTAACGTGTAGTGCATGGCGACATGTATGATTACGCCCTTTCCCTGTAAACACAATCATGGATCAAGCTAAAGAGCACAAATCTAGAAAGAGAGTCAAGCTACAGTTTTGATGTGATGCTTGTGATGTAATTTATCATCTTTGATGACTAACACAAATACATTTCAAAGTCAGGGGAAAGTGGCCAGGAAATGCCTCAGATTGCACTACAGAGTATCTAGATCCAAAAAAAGTTTTGCGATGAGCAAATGTCCAAAACTTTTCACTACGATAGGCTAAATTTTGACAAATCCTATGTAAAGTTCATCAAGTGACATATACTGGTTAAACTTGCAGATGTGCAGTGCTCCAAATGTGTCTTGTACAAATTACGAAGATAATATGCATGCATAGATACATGCATAGTGTTGGGGGGGGGAGTGGCTTTTGGTTACATTTGGAAGGGATTGGGTCAAATCCTGGATCTGCCTCTGCAGGCCTGCCAACTCTAACACATTGAGCGTAAGATTATTTCAGGTATTCTCATGCTTTAACGCCGACATGGGATTTCTCACGCAAAAAAATATATATATAAAAAGATAATTGACTCCAAACTTGAAAATGATGTTTAAATTATGATAGCTCAAAAAAAGGTTAAAGTGGTCAGAAATTGCCTCAGATCGCACCACAGAGCGTCTGGAATCCAAAATTTGTCGGGGTCCTTAAGCGGGCCCCGAACCCCACGCCGTTAGGGCTTCGCGCTACGCGCTCGCATCAACTGAGCTCCCTGCCCTGAGATGAGCCTGACCAATAAATTTTAGCTTCCTACGGGCCTGCGTTGTGATAAACTCAAACTCTATTACCAATTATTCCAACCATACTCTTATTAAATTCCATGATTAAAATCTCGCACTGATGGGTCTCATTCGGGCAATAAGCGACTGAAAGTGCTTAAGATCGTCACTGAAAAGTACTCACATACATGATACAGTACACACAACCAAACATCCACGAGATGCACACAAATGACACACCATTGAAAAATATTTTTAGTCTGGTCCTAAAGTACTCCACTGCGCACACTGCATTGATGTCTATCAGGTGCTTGACTGCATTCTTATTAGACTTGTCACCAGTCCATCCATTATCGCGACATTTCGCCAGAAGTTTTTGGTCAAAAACGATACTTTACAAGTATTTTTTTTTCGTTAGGTAGAAAATGGGAAATTCGTAATGTTTTAGAGGCAAATCGTATTTTCGTTATTTAACAAACAATTCGTAATAATTACGAAAAAATCGTACTAGTTGGCAGCTATGCTTTGGTTTTACCTGGTTAATGCAGGCCTGTCCATCATTTTCTTCTTGCTATTATAAAGACTAATTTTTCTTGTGGTTACGCCTTGCCACGCGAGTACACTTCTTGTCCCTTGGCAGCAAGAATGCGCTGCATGACTGTTGATTTATTATGCACAGGCTCCCGATCGCATATGTACGAAAGCCCATTAGCGCCACTGCAAGTATATATGTTACAGATTGTGTAATTCGTTATTACGGATTATTAATTCGTTATTACGGATTACTAATTCGTTATAACGGATTATTTAATTCGTTATTACGGATTATTAATTCGTTATTACGGATTATTAATTCGTTATTACGGATTATTAATTCGTTATAACGGATTATTAATTCGTTATTACGGATTATTTAATTCGTTATTACGGATTACTAATTCGTTAAAACGGATTATTTAATTCGTTATTACGGATTATTAATTCGTTATTACGGATTATTAATTCGTTATTACGGATTATTAATTCGTTATTACGGATTATTTAATTCGTTATTACGGATTATTTAATTCGTTATTACGGATTATTAATTCGTTATTACGAATTAGGTCTGATGTTCTCACACGTGGAGAGCACGTGACCAGGGGCCTGTGTATATAGGGCCGCTAGGCGGCGCTATCTTTGTATACAAC